TCTCTCTCTCTCTCTCTCTCTCTCTCTCTCTCTCACAATAGTTTGCAGTACATTTGTGAGGCAGCATGGTGAAATCAGGCGCTCGTCAAAATAATGAAATTGAAGAAACTGGCATTTTTCTTCCAGTTTAGCAATTTTTACCAAATTTTTGTTTTTTGACTTACCATTGTTGTCCGATTAAGAACAAATTTGCGGGTGGATTTTACTGAAAAATGTTGATTAAAAGCAAAAAAATGTAAGTTTTTCAGTTTCCATGGACTATCAAGCTATGGAAATGAATCAAACATTGACAGCCATTTTCTCGCTATTCTACCTTTGAAACCAGGCGACCCCACCTTCTTCAATCTCAAATATCTCGACTTCTATTCAAGACAGATGGGCATTTATTTTTTTCACCGATAGCAAAATAACCGAACAAGCTTCAAGATGATACCAATAACTCCACATGCCCAAAAATTGACGAGCACCTGATTCCACCACACACGTCGTGACACATTTCAAATTCTCAAGGCTACATACCTTAGGGGTCTATTACACTATAACACGTTCAATTAAAACTGGCAGTGTTGCTGAGAAGATCTTCTTTGTTTAAATTCTTTTTTGTAATCTTTGAATCCGGCTCACCACTTAAGTAGCATTTTTGGTTCAGCGTTTCACCGGCTCGCCACTAAAGTGGTGTTGGGGGGTTACTGATTTCATCAAACCTCAAGATCTAAACCTGATCCTACAGCTATACTTACTACTATTTTCATCCATTATTTTGTGATCCTTTGTCCAATTACGGATAGTTTGAGTGCTCACACAAACGAATCCATCAATATTTTACTGAATTTTAGCCTTTTTAAGATAACACCCTTCGCCCATGAGGTGTTTAAAATTGTGGAATCCTTTACGTACCGAAAGAGCTAGGGTCATTTAACTTAATCTGTAGCTACTTTTTGTCAAGCATTATTTTATTTTGTCCCCAAAAATTATTTCAAAAACCCTTTCATGGATCCTGGAGAGAAGGGAGGAGCAGCTATGGCATTGTGCCACCTGCAATGATGCGTATTCAGATCTCCAACCAAGTAAAAAGTAAAATTGTTCCCTCATCCGACCTGGACATTGGGGATTGCCTTTAGAGAAACAACTTCCTGGGCTTTCAGCATATCGTGGTAGGGAGGCAAGTTCCTTTCCTTGCCGTCTTTACTTCCCCAACTCGAAGTCAGGTACGCATTACTGCTGGGTGGGCAGAAGGGGGCGAAAAAAATTTGTGTCCGAACCGGGGCTCGAACCCAGACTTTCCTCTTCGGAGACGAGCGCACCAACCGCCCCGCCACCTCACCCTCACCAACCAAGTAAGTAAGTAATTTGAATATTTTTTAATTTTTAGGTGCAGTCAAAGTTTGCGCTGAGAGACGAGCTGAAGGCAAACTTGGAAGCTCTACATCAGCTAGAGAAAGTGACGGAAGCCGATGGAGAGGAATCGGAAGAAAATGACGATTTTCCTGCTGCTGAAGAAGATGTGGATGTTGAGGACGATGGTGAATACAATGAGAACAGTGTCGCTGTTGGCGCAGAAGATCCTTCTGACAGAGGAGATGCTGAAGTCTCATCGCTTCCATCTTTGCCCAGTCTTCCCAGTGGGTAAGGCTCCACATGTCAGTTGTCTCCTTTCGCCCTGTCTGTACGTCATGTTTTACTGTCGTATCCGTACGACATGGGGAACTCTGTGCCTCCACTTTCCAAAGAGGAAATTACTGGTTAATTCGATCCGTACGCTTTGCATTGCAATCTGTCAAAATAATTTTTTGAGAAATACTGAAAGTTTCAAAGAGATATCCATACTAAAAGTATTCTAAAATATAAAGGATACAACCCTGGGGTTACAAAATGACCCCAGGACGTACAGATAGGGTTAAACAATTAAATTACTGTGCAAAAATCTAACACTTATGGTATGAAGAATGATAATAATGCAGATAATTTTTATAGCACCCCTCCCATGCAGTACAGCTTTAGGTGCTTTACAGTACCTTCATTGCGACGTAAAACAGAAGGGAATGACCTTGGGTACGCTCTGTAGATCAACACGAACACATCAGCAGACATTCATACTATAACAGCACTCCAGATAGCTGTATGCACATAACATTAGGAACAAAAGAGTGTGGGTGGGTGGCGGGTGCTCTGGTGTGGTTTGCTCCTTCTTTCCTATCAAACATCTAACGTCCTTATCTCCCCTCTTTCTGTTTTGTGTTTGTTACTCTCTTGTAATGCCTCTAATCTTCAGCACTTATATTATGACCTAATTGTGTAGCAAGTGCCGTAAAACTCTTGCAGCCCCCCGGGGTAGTGCCCCTGACTGTAGGGTCTTTAGGCCATTCCCCAAGGGGGGACATTTCTTGTTCAAGCATAGTAGAATTGTAAATGGGCTGATTCATGTCGCGCTCATAACTGTGCCTGATCTACAACAGGGAGCTGCTGCTTTTTCTTTCCTAATCCTCACTATTGTCATTTTTCCTCTACTTCTTTTGTATGTTTGTCACACTCTTGTGACCTGCTATTTTGGGGTGCCTTGATAGTCGAAGCAGACCTTGTGCTGTTGAAGCTGGAGAGGTGAGCAGAGTAAGTCTGATTCCCTGTAAAGACTTCTCTGTTGACATCCACCCCTTGGCGCTCCTATGGCCTCATGCTGTTGTGAGCGCCGTAAAATCCTGTACTATAAAAAAAAAGCTCTTGCAAAAAAACAACAACCAGAATGCAAAAGAGTACCATGAAGAAGAGAAACTAACTGTCAGACTCTTTGTTTGTTTAGATAAATGGTTTGTTTGACTCTGAAGATCTTGTTTTGTTTTATAACCTGATGTTATCAGCTTCACTTACTTATAATACATATGTATTATTTATATTTATAGCTAAGATTATTAAAAGCACATGGCTGTTGAAATGGTAAAGTCCCATATGAAGATGAAATTGAATTGGCCTGGCAAAT